AGAAGAAAAAAAATACAAAAAGAGAGTTGAATAAAAAGAAGATTGGTCCGTGTGAACGGATTTCTCCCTTTGTCTCCATGTTTTCTCGCAGGACTATCACGCTTCACGGGAGCTTCCGCGGCCGATGCTTTCACGGATTTCGCCCCGATTCCATCTATTTGCGTCGGTCGTCGATTCTCCTTCTATGCATAGCGTAAAAATCACATCCGCTTTTTCCCAGAGGGTTAAAGATCGCCTCTATAACAAAAATACACGTTGTTATTCGCGCAAATCTACTTACTGGCTTCATTGCATTATCGCGAACGTAGAGCGTCGAGTAATTTATTCGCAGCATTATATATGCATTGACATTTCTTTCTATCGCATCGGAATCATAAAACATCCGCGTGTAATAGATCAACGTATGACAATACATCATGTGATGTGTGACAAATGTCATAGTGACGAGAATATTGCTACTGACGCGCATTGCTTACAAGTGTAATGCGTGATCGCAAATCATATCGACTTCTCGCTCGGATATGTCGAAAAATTGCAATCATGACGCGAGAACATGTCATGTCCTAAAATATGCACTGGCAACATTTTTAACAACACAAAATGGAATTAAAAATATATATAGATACGTACATTTCAGATTTAATTCAAATATACCTAACAGCTTAAATAAATGAGAAGTATGCAATACTTTCTAAAATAATATATACATAGGAAGTTCCATAATTCTCATCTATTTAAGCTGTTATGCGAATATTTGAACAAAATCTGAAACTTTTATAATTATAAGCAACAACGTAAGAGCAGAGAATGTGAAAATTAATGCAAATTCGATCATTTATACGTGACAGCGATATATGTGTAGTAAATAATATAGATAAACGAATACATAAATATAACATATATAAATATTATTTATGAGATATAATATCCATACTGAATAGAATTTGTACCTGTGATAATTATGTAATGATGACGATATTTATTTCTACATGTGATTAATAGCGCTTTTATCTCTAATCATTGATACTCGTCCAGATGCTCGCTCGGATTCAACCCTTCGAGAGCATACATATCATTTCTTTGATCATTGATCGCCATCTTCACCTTGCTCCTATCTCTAGAGAAATTTCCATGAAATATTGCGGCCAGTCACATAACATGAATTGCGACTCTGAAATTTCCGATTCACTTACCTTCCATTCGCGTATTTACCTCCAAGTTTCCACTTACATGCATCCGCTTTATTCAAAAGATTGCAATTGAAAAAACTGAAAGAAATCAAAGAATGCTACAACGAGAAAGATTCTGCGCTCAAGCACTATTAATATAAAATATAAATCTTATTTTAAGCGTCGTATAAAATCCAATTTATGTAAAAATACTTTCGTTAAGTGGATCTCGATGGATCTTGCATGGAAATAATGCATAATTTCACAAAGGAAGACATATGGCAGAAATTTTGCAAATTCCTATTTCTTTTATGTCATATAAATTTTCGACGCGTTAAAATGCACGTGGCTGTTCAAGCGGAACAACGTCTTTGGAAGAACATTTCGAAGTAATTTTTCCTTCCAGCAGCGAGTCTTGGCGAAATGGCTCCGGTAAAGCTGGGCTTGCAGAAAGATCGAGAGAGAGAGCTTCGATTGTTTTTTTAGAATCCCTTTTTTTTTGAGTTCACGAGCCGCGATGGCAGTCCGTATGCCACCGCCGCGCAATTTCAAACGTTACGACGTCCCCGGAGAGGGAGAAAGCGAAGCTACAAAGTAATTTTTTCCTCACTTCTCTCTCTCTTTCCTCTCCTCATCTCGCCTTTTTGCGCGTAGTAGATATTCCCGGTGCAACTTAAAAGTACGCGAAACCTAGTTTGTCTCGCATGACCTCTTTTCAAGCTCCGCTACGCAGTTCAAGCGTTTGAATAACGAATGTAACAATGTTCTCCGTCCATAACGCGCAACGTTCTACGACATTTTCTGCATGAATACCATTCGCGTAAATCAAACTGCGCCCTCGTTTTCGTCTCGTATGCGTTACGGTTATTACGAAAAATTGACGCAAACGTTAATGCGAGTTAGCGAGTTATAAGCCTCTCTATATTTGCTCGTTCAAGGAGATTATTAAAATTCGGATCATGACTTAAATCATTTGCGGCATGTCGTCTTTTTATGCACGAATGGAACCAATCGCCAAATTGACGCGTTAATTATGAAACGGGCAATATCGCGGCGCCGCATACGAGCACGGAATATTGAATCGACCGCCCAATTTAACCCTTTGCGGCCCCTCTCATTCGGTGGAACAGATAGGATCAAATTATCTATTCATATAGCAAGAACGAAATGTAGAGCGGAATATATGTGACAAAGCGATGTTTGGATTAACAATTTTCTCTATATATAGCAATTTTCATTAAAATATCATTTAAACAGAAATAGATAATAATCACGATAAACGATAACAATTATTTAATTCTAATTACAAAATGAGATATATTTGCAGTATAATTTCTAAAGCATTATTAAAACATTTTTTCTACTATATATATATAATCTTTATCTTTTTTAAATGATGTAATTTAATTCATATGAATAATTCATACGAATAATTCATATGACACAATTAAAACACAATTAAAAAGTTAATAAGTTAATATATAATTTTTATAAACTACACTTAATAATTATAAACTACACTTTATAAATAATTTTATAAACTACACTACACTTTCAGAAATATCGATGCTCATATTATTTGAGCACATTTAGATAGGTGGTGGCGCTCTTCGACCACATTTTTTAATATATATTCATTATTACAATCGACATTTGGACGCAAGCCAATTTAAGAGCTTTTTAAAAGTTAAGCGTGACATATGCGACGATTGTTAGCAACGCGACTGAATAGATTCGACATCATCATCTTTATAATCGAACCAGCATCATACAATCGTTTGAACTGGCAGATGCAAAATTTTAACCACATCACATTTGCGTACTAAATTATTTTCTATTCATTAATTATCATGCGGTGGATGATGTCACAGTAGATTTACATGCCATTTCGATATTTTATTTGCTCTATTAAATTCGAATAGAATCGGAAAAAGTTTTTTATTGAATCATACATACACACATACATTATGTTGTTTTGTATAGACAATCAACCATCTGAATGATATATTATATGGAAAACATTAGAATTTTGAAAACAATGAATAAGTTTAACAATAATAAATTTTGAAAACAATGAAAAAGTTTAATAATAATAAGTTAAACAATAATAAATGACATCTTTACTTCTATTTTTATAATTGCAATAAAGTACAACATATAAACCGCACATCGAATAATATTGTGAAATGCTCTGAAAATACAGTGCAATGAGCTGCAAATTCCTTAATGATTATTGCCAACGAAAGTTAGCGTTGCGCAAATATTTCCGTAAGACCGCCGGAAGTTTAAACAATGTCGGGACTCTCTCGAAGTCTCGAAGCGGAGCGATGCGGCGCGGAAAACGCCGTGTATGGGCAGCCGAGTATGAACAGACCGCATTCCCGCGGTCAACGAATAGTGCGGGTCGCCGTTTGGTCGGCCAGTGGATACAGTTAGACGACATTGCTCAGCACTCAAGTAATTTTCGTTCTTTTGTACACGGCTAGAACGTCGAGTTGAGCTAATCTCTCTTGTACGTGAATCTCGCGACTCGTTTGCAGCAGGCATTTTCCAGTACGATTGATGTGCAATATCTGCTTTCGACTTAAGGCATTCAATCCTGCCGCGTAAAATCCAGAAACAAGCAAAGAAATTATTTTATTCCAAGAAATAATTTTTTTTTTTAAATAAGATACAAGATCAAAGATATTGCGAAAATAACGCATGATGAGTGAGTTTCCTTTATAATTAGTAATTGAAAAAAGCCATCAGTCACTTTTCCAAAAAGTTTTTTTTCCTTTGATGAACAGTTCGTAAACAGAATAATATACGGGACAAAGGAATCTGATCCGTTTGCATGCTATTTTCATATAATCCTGTAACACATGGTAACGTACCGCAATTCGTCCTGCGGATTACTGGCGGCGAAGATTAAACTCCGGCCATCGTGTACGGTTTTCCTCCGTGTTTGCAAGCTCGCCTGGCAAAAGGGCAAGTCCTGGAAAGTGAACAGCAAGGGCTTTGATACATTGCTCGAGAAATAATTTACTGTTTCGTTCTGTGAATTGCAAATCCTGACGACAGGCAAACATCCACCGGCATTGCTTGAATGAACAGGGGCTTAATAATTTATAATCTCTATCAAAGCTGTATGTCTCCCTTTCGTGAAAATATTACACGTTTCTGAGATCTCTGGTTTCATAGGATAGAAGTGTGCAGGAAATGGGCCGCAGAGCTCTGCGTACGACCATCCTCTTCGTGTTTTGTTTCCCTCTTTCGGTCTATCTTCATTACGCGAGGTAATCCCACAGGAACAATACGTTATTCTCTCGCCCGAGCGAATACCATACTAAATACATATATCAAAAAAACTTTTACTACGGTACTTTATTAACTCGCTTTATGTCATTATTGAGGTCGTTTATATTGCCGCCAGGCAATCTGTTTGACAAATTGTCTGATAAATATCTCTTTGATAGGGACTAATAATAGAATTTGTTATTTGTACTCAAACAAAAGGTCATACTTTTACAGTGTTTATAGCAACATAATATTTTAGAAAATATTTAAAAAATCTGAGTTATACATGTACATTTTGTAATAAATATAATCTGGTTTATTATAAATAATTAATTCATACGATATATTGTTACGTTTTCTAATTATTTTTTTATTCTACGTTACATCTAATTAATAGCATTTTATTTAATGCAAAATTTGCGTATTTTAATCAATGAAAGAAATCTTTCCATATTTTATAATATTTTAATAAATCATTAATATTTTCTTTATGCGTAAAAATAACAAAGATAATGAAGACTAATCTATTGCATTTACTGTATTTTATTTCAGAGTGGCGGTCAGAACGGTGTATGGACAGTAAGCGTGATTATACTGTCAATTGGCACTTGGGTGGGCAGAGTCGGGCCACGTCCAGCAGATGGGGAGCTTGCACTCCTGACGTCGCCGCGTGAGCGATTGGACACTGTTCGGCAGGTTCTTTCCGAGGTGCCTTTGATCGACGGTCACAATGATTTACCGTGGAACATCCGCAATTTCTTGCACAATCAACTGGCAGACTTCGATTTCGACAAGGACTTGCGTCAAGTCGCGCCCTGGAGTAAAAGCGCTTGGAGTCAAACCGATCTGGTCAGATTGCGGCAGGGCATGGTGGGCGGTCAGGTAATTATTAAATATAGTTAGATTGCAGCATCATTGTAGTCAAGAACAGATCAATAACACATCGCAGCCATCATTCACACACATGCAGCATCATTGTAATCAAAAATAGACGAATAAAACAATACAGCGTTTCTCTAAAAATAATCGATCCTGTAATAATATATTCTTTAATAAAAATGCTCGTGACAGATTTTTTCTTAAAGAGAATTAAAATTCTGTAAGTTTTTAATATCCAACATCTTGATAATAAAAATGTGAGTTAATATTTTAAAAAATTATGATTATTATAAAAAATCAAAATTAATTATCGTGCAAAATTTTCTAAAATAAATATTTAATTAGCAATTTTATCGTATTTGATAATGTTTTTTAACGTCAATCCAGCATTAGCGCCTGCGCAATTCAAGAAATAAATTATATCGGTGTGCAATGTATATGTATAAATAAGCAATTTAGGATTATCGGTCATTTCCTGGAGGCTATGCTAGAGATGACTGCTAGAGACGGGTTTCGGTTGTCGGCAATATTATGAGCGTGACGGATTGAATGCATCGATTATCGTCGCATACAAGCACTCAAGAGCTCGTTAGGTCTGAATGATGCGAGTATTAAGCGCATGTCATGCTTGCGCGTGCGCCCACACATACACATACACATAACACACACACATTATACATATTACACATATTGCAAAATATATATAGTGATTTAATGCATTTTATCGCGCACCAGGGTACTGTCGATACTATTTTTAGTTATTTTGGAATTTCAATAATACACTGCAATTACGTCTGCAATATTATTTTTCATGAAAATTTAGTTTTTCTAAAATAAGATCGAAAATAAAATTGTTTTTTAACATATCATTGATATCATATCATTCAAGTCCTAACATTAAGTGTATGTGTGAATGTATGTATGTGTGTGTGTGTATGCATGTGCGTATTTGTATGCATGTGTGAGAGAAAGAGAAAATACCCAGACAGCACAAAAAGGTCAAAAGATGTCTTAAAGACATCTAAAGAACTTTAAGACGTCTTTAAGTCGTCTTTTAGATGTCTTTTGGACATGTGTGCTGTCTGGATATTGATGTAAGGCTTTAACTTGCATTCTTTTGCATATTTTTTTATTATGTATATCATAAAATGTATTATAAAATATAATGTATTTCTTTTTTATTAAACAATCTACTAATTTATTTTAAAAAGTAATATAATGTACTTAAAAATTTGAATGCGTTCTTTTACATTTTTCTTGATACGTTTTCATCGCTTTTCTTTAAATGTCTTTATTCTTTAAATTTCTTTAATATATCAAAGAAATACTGACATAATTCTATTCACGACAATTATTTATGATAATTTTTTCAAAATAAAATGCAAGAAAGCAAATCCTAGTTTATTTTCTTAGAAAAATCTATGTAATAGGTATATAGGTCAAGTATATACGTCATGTCAAATTGCTTTTTTTCAGTTTTGGGTCGCTTACGTGCCATGCGAGTCTCAACATCTCAATGCAGTCCAGTTGACTCTAGAACAGGTAGATCTCATTAAAAGACTCATAGAAAAATATTCCCAGCACATGCAGTTCACTGTATCATCGAGAGGTGAGTATTGCTTATTATAATAGTGAAATGTAGGATCTCAAATAATTTAGCGCGTTCGACAACTTTATTCAATTATATTTCTAATTTCTAGAGATTTTGGAGGCTCACGGGCGAGGTAGAATAGCTTCCCTGATTGGAGTGGAGGGTGGGCATAGTTTAGGAAGTAGTTTAGCCGTTTTAAGAACACTCTACCAGTTGGGCGTACGATATCTCACACTAACACATACTTGCAACACACCGTGGGCGAAAAGTTCGTCGGTAGAAGACGACGATGAAGATGGTAAATTAGACGCGAGTTTGAAATAAACATCCTTTTCAGAATTAGCAGAACCAGAACTTACAAACTTAATTTTATAAACACTCGCAAGTATTTAAGAGATATCAAACAAAAGTTTGATGAAAATTTAAAGTATTTCTACCTAAATATTTTTTCTCCTCCATTTCTTTTCTAAATTATGAAATGTATATCAAGTTTTATTTCACATAGAATCTACTGTAATATCTTGCTATTTAAAGAAAAAATAATTATGTTAAAGTAAAGATAAATTATATATATTCTCTTTTATATTCATATTATTTAATTGATTTCAAAGATTTCAACTTTTTTAATGAATAATTACACAAAGAAAATAAACACCGAAATAATTTTGATATATCTTCCAGGCGGAGGCCTGACGACATTCGGTAAAACGGTAGTTCAAGAAATGAATAGGCTTGGAATGCTGATAGACCTCAGCCACACTGCTAGGGCGACCATGAGGGATGCTCTGAGGGTCAGTAGAGCGCCGCTCATTTTTTCACACTCCTCAGCATTCGCCATTTGTAATTCCTCTAGAAATGTACCCGACGACATTCTTAAGCAGCTGGTAAGTATATATATATATATATATATATATATATATATATATAAATACATTTTTCTGCGCAATCAAATTAATTCTTAATTACCTTTATTTTTTTCTTAATTTTTTTTTTAATTAATTTTGCCTAAAAGACTTAGAAAAGAACAAAATAAAAAAATGACTTCAATCACAATATAATCTTTAAAAAGTCAAAAGTATGTAAAATCATTGTAATGTAGTTTATTCTTTTTGTATAAAATTGTTTATGTTGCACATTCAATAATTATAGCATTAATATTTGTATAAGAATGATTCTTAAGCGCGTGAAAATCGGATTTTCTTGCATCAAAATTCGCATCTCGCAAAGCTAAACAACTTGATGAAAAAAGAACAACACGACATAAATAAAATTCTTTTGTTTTTTCTATTTACCTTTTTTGTGGTTGTTCTTTTCCGCGAAAGGATAATTATCCCAAGACGGCCAAAGTTTTAATAGCAGCATGAAACATTTAATGGCGATTTTGTTCTCTATTGTCGTTCTCTTTGTATCTCATTAAGGAACGCTGCTTACCTCGGCTCGTTAAGAAGCGAATTATCAAAATCGAAAATTAATGGCACCGAGTCGATGATATGGAATGCAATATCATGATAACGAGGTCTCTCTTCTCGTCGATTCTATCGATCTCTCTGTTACTCTGTCGTTATATTTGTTCCGTTTCCGGGGAAAAGGTGCAACCAGGTTACAGCTTCCTCTGTATACCGATGGAAATTACGTGTTACACAGGCTGGCTTGAAATTCCCGATGCGGTGGCGCGGAGCACGTTCAAATTATGGAGCATCAGAATTACGGGCTCTTCTTTATATCATCACGTGCTTGTTTCCAGGCTGATAACGGTGGGCTAGTGATGGTCACGTTTTACAATTATTTTGTAAAATGCGGACCTCAAGCTAGTGTCTCGGACGTGGCTGAGCATATATACTATATTAGAAACTTGATCGGCGTGGACCATATCGGAGTCGGCGGGGATTTCGACGGCATCAACAAGTATGTTAAAGACAAAATAAATCGATGGAATTAATTATTTAATAACAACTTTCAAAATATGTATCAAATATCATATTTTCCAAACAATTTGCATGTAATAGTATTTCAGCAACAATTTAAGCCGCACTTTAATTGTCAACATTAATATTATAAAGTTCTTTGATAGAGAAAATTTTTTATCTTTAGATTATTTTTTAATGAATCGTTATCATTTTTTTGTAATTATTAAACTATTCAAAAGAAAAACATGCCAGATTATATATGTGTAAAACATCTCTTCTCCTTTATCCAGAACTCCTCGTGGTCTTGAAGACGTCTCGAGGTATCCTGAACTATTCGCCGAACTTCTCCGTAGCGGAAAATGGAATGTGCTCGACCTAAAGAAAGTCGCCGGCTTGAATTTACTGCGAGTTCTCACACAGGTTAGGGTCGATTAAGGTCTAAGGTACAGTTGTATATGCATGCCACGGCTCGCTCTGACATGCCTTAATACCATCATAATTCTGTCGACGTAGCAATACATGCTGCTACGTCTCACGTGCACTACACGCTTGCACAATCTTTCTCAATCATGCTCATAAATTCTTCTCTATAAATATTTTACAAAAGGCAAGATTGATGATAACAGATTTTCAGCGATGAGTTTATCATTATCATTTCTCTCTTGCTATTATATAATAATCTTTAACAATAAAAAACGAGACAATATTTTTTAAATAAATCTAAATATCTAAAACAGTTAAATATAGTTTTATAAAATATTTAACATATAAAATATTAACATTATACTATATTATACTAATATATTGCGATTAATTAATATTAATACTGTTACACAGGTAGAACGTGTGAGGGATGACATGAGAACAGCTGGAGTTACGCCGTCCGAGGAGTATCTTTCAGATTCGCCGGATGCGATCGGTAATTGCGCTCTAGATATTAATTCCGTGCAAAGGGTCACGGAAGTCTGATCGATCGATTACTCCACGACATGCGAATTAATCTTATATGTGTACGGCCGTTCCGCGTAAATTAACATGGTCAACTCTGACCACAACCGGGTACGATAGCGCCGGTTCAAAGCGAAAATTCAATTATCTCGATTACACTGCGACCTGTACGCTCGCAAAAGTTCTTCGAACCTCGTGTGCGGATGCTCAATTAAACATCGTCGACATTTGCAAAAGCTCAAAATAAACCTACCTCGATACCTATCTTATAAAGGCGACGAGCAACGTGTATTGATTATGTTTTATTAAAGGAAATACGTTCTCATACGATACAATAAGATGTGGACAGAGATATTGCACTGTCAGTAAATAATTTTAATTATTAGCAAGGATTTAGTATAAACTTCCGTCTCTTTTGTATTCTACGAAAATCAAATATAAATTTAGTAATCTAATAATATGATTATTATTTAATTGGATATAATTCCCTTTCAATGTGATACTGATAAATCATACCTTTTTTATTAGCGGCCACAACTATAAAAATCGCAAATTAAATTATTAATTATGAAATAGTCTGCTCGTCGCCATTAATTATCCGTAACACACAGACAGTCTTCTTTATGATTCAATACCCAATACCAATGAATCGTTAACATCGTCTGGTCATTTTATTTTAAGATCTTCACTATTCTGCTGTGAACATTTCCACGGTCATGTAAATATCTGAACGATATGCGGAACGCTATCCAATATTTACGTGAAGAGAAAACGTCATCGTGATTGAACTTTCTGAACTTTGATGTCTTCCTCTCTTGGAAACGATCGTAATATGTGTGTGAAACTATGAACTCCGGCTGTATACCTTTCAACGTCTTCCTTCCCCTCATTGCAACAAAAACACGTACTTTATAAAGTGCTTATAAAAGGTTTATGGAAGAAGGAGACATCGACGTCGTGTTTCTACGAGCAACTTATAAAAATTAACAAAATTCTTCGAAATTTTACTTGCAATATGCAAACATTTTTTATTTAGCTCAATTCTAAATTCTGTTTCTGTTTAATAACTTAAGAATTGCGGGCTTTTCTTTACATTTATCACGTGCTTGTTTCCAGGCTGATAACTGCGGACTGGATGGTCATGTTTTACAATTATTTTGTGAAATTTTATGCGGTCCTCAAGTCAATATCTCGGACGTAGTCGTCACATATTATTTTCTATATTCATATTTCTATATAATATTTTCTATTTATTGTAACACAATTTTAAAATTTGTTTTTCTTCAACAAATCATTATTTAAAAAATTTTATTTATATTTTTCCATAAAAACTCTAATTGTGATCTCAATATCTTTAAAATATTCAAAATATCTTATCACATAATTTTTTTTACATTTTTAAATTATATTTTTATAAATTTTAATCTTTAAATCACTGAATATCTTCACAATTAATATATAAAAGTTACTACCTAATAATTGAATATTCAATCTTTTTTGTATAATTGTTTTATTGTTTTAAAAATATTAATTTATTATAAAATTAATAAATATATATAATTTAAAACGTCTTCTTCAGCATTATCATCTCAATAACTCTCCGAAAATCATTTACACAATCAAAGCTATTAAAAAAACACACTATACTTTTAAATAATCTCTCAGATTAATCTCTCAGAATAATTGAAATCTCCGATAAGAGAGAAATAAATTATCTATTTCTATATCTGTTAGTATTAAACTCAAACTTGCACACATATCAAAATCGCGAGATGTTTCAACTGCTCGTATTTTATACAGCAAGAGCCATTCTAGTTTTGCACAAATTTCGCTTTGTATAAAAATGCTCGAAGTGATATTCATTAAATCATTAAGAGTCACATAGAATTCGATATAGTGCTCGCAGTAACAGGTGTCGATGAGTACATAATTGAATGTACGTGTTTTTCGATGGATTATATTGAATGTACCGATCTACCGTTGAAGCGCCGCTCGGTAGTCTTCTTGATCAAAGCATCATCTAAAAGTCTTCGACGGGACGTTTGAGATTGCCTGAAACAATTGGCGAATCACGGACACAAAAGTCATCTCTTTCGTCAATTTGTTCCTGGTAATCTTCACATATCGCCGTCCACCTATCTGTGTCTCGTGTGCACTTATTATATAATTCGCGCAAGATGAATCTTCGATTGGAATCGTGCATGTGTGTGTGTATGGAATCGGAGATTTGATACGAGGAATTAATCAACTTGCGCGAATTATACCTCACTCCGTCATTGGAGGTAGGCGATAAATTCTAGGATATCAAAAGTTCCGTTGTATCTCTCGAATGAATTCTATATGAATAAATGTTTCTATTGTAAGCATTTGCTATATTTCTTTCTTTCTGATATACGTATAAAACAAAATATTTAATAAGATAAATCTAAATTTAAGAGATTTCTGTTTCTGAAAATACGGTAATCTTTGATTCTAAATAGCGCGCATTTAATATTTTTATATTATTAAAGGAAAGATTTTATATTACATTTATATTTATTTATACATTAGAAAAAACATAGTTTTATTGAATAATTTATATATGTTATATATTAAATGGAAATGCAAAAACTATGTAAAATAAACTTAATTTTATTGGCCAATTGCGATTTCTCTTACAAAAAGGAAACGACGTATTATACACATATCTCCTTAATAACATACATAATAATTACATTATGGAATGATGATCAACGCGGTAATGTAAAAAATAATAATATTATTTTATATATATATACAAAGTATAAAATATATTCCATAGGCACAATCGCTAACCGTTAATATGGCTAAAACTTATATCTAATGTCGAAATGAAGAAAATGTTATTTACAGACGATTCACAAGGTACACATGATCTACGCTGACTGATACTCAACACATCAGAGATGATCTCAGCCACTGTAAGCAATTTAATATTTTTAGTTCGTACATATAATACGTAAGAATAGAAAATAATAGATATTATATTCTTCATAAAATTTCTATGTACCTCTGACAAACTTAATTTTATCGTTCCATTTTGTAAAGGATCCTTGCTCTCGAAAATTCCTAAGTAAATGTAAAAATAATTTTCATTAATACAAATTATCCGAGAGCGTAATGCGAATGAATCAGCTTATATGTGACTGAAAGCTTCTGATAATTCAACATACCAAATGCGTCGCTCAAATGTAATATCGCCGAAACGAAGTCGCCGAATCGAAGAGTTCCGTCTTTCCTCATATATCGAAGAATCAAGATGGATAATACGTCCGTATTTAATTGGAAACCTAAGATAGAGAAGTCTTCGTTGTATATGGGCGAATAAAAGAGAATGTTTCTCTATACGTAGCACTGTATGACATTTTTCTCTTACGTACCAACTTCCAACAGTGCATCTCGCAATCTCTCTGCCTTAAGTATACCCGTCTTTTCCTTCGTATGATTCTTAAAAGCAGCTTGCCAGTATTTTAAACTACACATAAGATCTTTAAAGTCATTAAACTTTAGTCGGCCACTTCCAGAACTCTGTTTATCAACGTAATAAGAAAATATAAGGAAAAAATATCGCTTGCATACTATTTAAATATGTAAAATAGAAAATCAGTAGAAAGAGATAAAGATCAATAGAAAAAATTTTCTCTAAAATTTTGATAAAATATATACCTGGTCTGTATACTCATTTTATTTAATTATTTAAACATATAATTACATTTTAATAATATTACATATAAAATGCAAACCTACAGATAATTCACATATTTAATATTAAAAGAAATCGATTGAAAATACATTCTAAGAAATTAAATTGTTATCAAAAGGATACATCCATAGTGAGTACTACTTGTCGACAGACTTCCATACAGGCACAGCTTTTGATGTAATCTGAAAATTGAAGAGGAAATGCCAATTTAGATTGATGTTTTAGTACATTTTATTTAACAAGATTTTCTTTATACTTTAAGATGAAGAAACGATAAATTGCATACCATTTGGTAAACAGGCTTCTAAAAGCTCCTGTAATTCGAAGGCGTTTACGGTTTTATGTTCGTCGGCAAGCTGTAGGAATACGGCTTCATATTGAGAAAAACCTTTGCCTTCAAGTGGAGGTGCCTTAACAATTGCCGATTTCATTAAGGATGGCGGCGTGTCTAATAATCTAAAATATTGAAAAATGTTACATAAAATATATGCTACGAAATTTTATCAATCATTTTCTCTTTAATTTCAAATATAAAACATGATAATTAAACGTAATAAATAAAAATATTTAAATACGATAATTAAAAAACATAAAATGTTATGTATTTTAGATTTTAATATTTCAATATTTAATGACAAAATATATAATTTAAATATTTAATGATCAAATATATATAATATAAAATCATAAAAATTGTAAAGAAAAAAAAAAGAGAAAAAAAAACTTATCGAAAATATTCAAATAAAAATAGCGAGTTATTTTATTGATAAAATTTTCAATTTATTACGTTTCACAAAAAGAGTGTACACTTTAGAAAGAAGACTTAATGCATTCTTTGAAATATAGTCAAAAGAAGATGTTAAAGCCATAATTGAAGGTGAACAAGAGTCATATAACATATGCTTGCATGAGTTAATGTATGCTGTACATTAAATGAACCGACGCGACCATACGATCCTTTGTCCGCGCATATATATGACATCGGTAAATGCACATGTACTTACTTGAGTTTTAGAGGCTTACTACTGTAGACTCGTAACGTAAAACTTGTTTCTTGAGTCGGCTCGAAGGTCGTAGGTACCAACAAGTAACCACCCTGCTCAAGCTGACACCTGTGGCTCACCTGTCGACTATTTGTGTACTGGGAATTAACTAAAGACTTGTTCTTCTTAAAAAACTGTTTGTTTATCGATTCGGTGCTATTCTTCGGCAACGTGTATGCTGTGAAGCCAATCACCTTAAAACAGCAAAAGTTTGATGAGTTCATCATAAAGGACACGATTAATCGCACAATAAAGATTTCTTACTTTTGGCTCCATGATAGAATGCTGATTCAACGAAACGATCACTTCTTCCATCTCACTTAGAATAAGATGCAATTGTGGATTTATGTGAAAGGTCTCTATGCAAAAAGATACTATTATATATATTTTATATATACATATTATATATATGTATAACAACTTGCATTATATTTAAAATAAAAAAGGAATAATAATCACACAAACCTTGATTGTTTCGACATCCTCCTGCAGTGACGCCTCTTCTCCAACTTCCCTGATATAATTTCATTTGCCAAGTGTGCTTGCTGTGTAACGATGGTTCGTCTCTCGAAGTTTCAGCATCTAAATGTACTACTTCGAGATGAGTGAATGTCTTAACGAAATCGGAATATGATATCCTGAAAACGATAATAATATATAATTGATATTTTTTAGCAAAACTTTCTCAGGGCATAAAAATTTAATTTATATTTCGAAAATCCACTCGAGATGATATTTAATAACTAAATTTTTGCAATATACCTTAATTAAAAAACAATTTTTTATATCTTGCATCATTCTTTAATGAACCTTCTGATATATTATTTACGATATATGTTATAAATTGTAATTCTTTGTTTATTTACCAAAATTCCCCTTCAGCCATATTTCTTACAGCTAATCGTTCTCTTTCCATTACAGGTACTTCATCCCATTCTAAGCCACCTCTCGCCCAAGCACCAACATATTCTCCACCAGGTCCAAGAGGATTTCTCAATTTTACTAATTGCACTGCTTCCCCTCCGAATGTTTCCACCTATACAGCATCAAGGCCAATATATAATTTTAAATTCTTTTGTTCCTATAATTTATGTCAATAGAATACGAGATTGTCGTCAATATACTAACCCTCTCAATAGCATATAATCTATAATTGATTCCCATTTGTATGCCATTAGCGAGTTTCTCCGTGCTAGCACGTATCTACGATAAAAATACGTGCATAAGCAAAGTATTGAGAAAAATCTGTGTTCCATATTTGAAACGCCTTCTACCTGTTGTTGATTATTATTTACTGTACATGTGATGAGAGACGTCATGTCCAGGAGTTTCGATAATGCTCGTCCGCAGGCTGTGGGATCCTGACGAATCGCGATGCTTTCAGTAATACCACCCGTGAGATCGGATAAACCATCCAATAATGTGCCGTACTTGAGCGCCTCGTAAGAACCGTGAAGTCTGAA